TATATATATATATGTGAAATGGACTTACAAGATGTATTGCTTTGGAGAAGTGATTTTGCTTTTGTTTCCACAGGAAACAAGAGGCTATGGATTCGTTCCAGGTTAAGATGGACCAGATTTGATCAAGGAAGACCTCCTGAGCCTTGACAAGTGATATTTATCAACAAAGGTTATTATTTGTCTTTCTAGGACTTGGTCATTATCTCAAATTTTGTCAGAGATCCTTAAAGATACTTTGTTCACAGACAGCAGGAAGCAGTTTGGAGAAAACAATGTCCACATTCCGTAGAGTTTGAGGGTATGGATCATCTTTGTTTATTTGGCAGGTTATGTATGTTTGTTATATTTAGGGGAATATAGAAATGTAGGATAAAAAGACAACTATTAATCTCAGATACTTTGCATTGGCATGGATTTTGTTATAGTCATATAAATTTAAAGTTAATTTTGTTACATTGTATATATGTTTCTGTTCTTACTTAAAGGATTTTTGTATATTGATACAAATTTAAGGTCAATTTTGTTATACTATATGTATATTTCTACTCTTGTCTAAGACATTATGTTTATGCAGTTCATTTAAAATGCAATGCATAGTTAAATACAAATAGTCATCTATAATAGTCAAACTTACAGTCATGTTAGTTAGGTTTTCTAGATATGCAGAGATATATTTCTGATGGATAGGTACTCTTCAAACACTTCAAAGACCTACAGAATATGGCATTTAAAATGTTTTAAGAACTTAGATTTTCTTGACAATGAGACATGTCTGCTTCTGGAAGCATCAATTACTTCAAGAGGATGTTGGGCATTGAAGAAACTCCTTATGGAGTTTGCTTTCATGTGGCAAGACTAGCCATTTGGGCAAGAAACTGCTCTTGCCTGGACAGCTTGACAATATGATGTATGAACTGGACATGCAGGACCCACAGAAAAATGACTGCCGAACTTGCCAAAACAAGATGAGAGAGTCCTTCAGGGCTCCTGCTTCATGAAACAGTCTGCCAGACACTCTGCAGGAACACAGAAGAAAGCAACTGACTTCAAATTTCCTGCTTCACTAAGAAGTCTGCCAGCTCCATTATGCCTATAGGCTGAAGATGGGTGCCCCAGCATTACAGGAGAACTCTGGATGACTGTCCGGGCAGCGAGATATCTGCGTCATTTCCAGAGTTTTGGAAGTTGTTTATAATGCACTTCCTGTTTACTTACAGAATATTATATCCTTCTGGGGTCTTTGATGGAGTTGAAACTAGATAGCTATAATTATAGTTTTCCTTAGTTATGATAAAAGATAAATTAGATCTAAAACTTTAGACTCACAAAGATAAGGTAGATGATAGACTATTTAATTTTGCCAAATACAAATAGAGTAAATACTATAACTCTAGTTCTTGATACCTGTTTTGCTATATGTAATTTTACAATGTTAAAGTTAAAACCTTCCTTTTTAATTAGACAGAAAAGGGAGATGATGTGGGATGTTCTGTACATTGGGAATATGTGTTGCTTTTATTTGTTGATAAATAAAGCTGTTTTGGCCTATGGGAGGGCAAAATATAGCTAGGCAGGAAATTCAAGCAGAGGCACAGGAAGAAGGGAGGTAGAGTCAAGGAGATTGCCAGCAGCTGCCCAAGGAACAACATGCCAGAGCACCGCTGGTAAGCCACGGTCCATGTGGCGGTACACAGATGAATAAAAATGGGTTAATTTAAATGAAAAAGCTAGCTAGTAATCAGCCTGAGTCATCAGCCAAACAATTACAATTAATATTAAGCCTCCAAGTGATTATCAAACAATTATAATCAATATTAAGCCTCTGAGTGATTATTTTATAAGCAGTTGCAGGACTGGAGGGACAGAGAAATGTCCAGCTACACCCTTTCTTGATCTTTCTTTTCCAAACTTATCACACTACCAATATATCTCTGAAGCAAAGAGTTTTTGTTTTTTAGTTCCACTGTGTCTTGTCATTTCCAACTAAAGATCAAAATAATACGCAAGACTGGTAAAGCCGTCTGTGAACTAGCCATTCCTTCCTGTTCACACTTTACCATGAACCGCTACACCTCTGTATCTGTGGCTTTGCACAGGCTGAGCCGTCTAGTTTGGTTATCTTGCTCCACAATTTCCTTCCATCCTCCTAACTTTTCCTCACCTTCTAAGACCCAGGCCCAGTTACAGCATCCAGCTAGGGCTTCACAAGGAGTAGGTGTTCAACAGTGTTTATGACTAGAGAAAGGACAGATGGATGTGCTGAGTCTTGGAATGACTGCATGTTGCAACTGTCCTGTGAAACAGCTTTGTATTTACAAACTTCACACATAATATCTGTTATTATAATCACACTGTTACATGATATGTAATACATCATACTGTTAGATGATAGCCACTTGTCTACATATCCATCTCTGCAACTGTGAGCTGGTTAGATGAGCCTTGGTTTCAAGCTCACTCTGAATGCTCAGCTCCAGCCAGTGCCTGATACACTGTAGATGACAATATCTCAAGGATGGGGGGGGGGATGTAGCAAACAGGATGCCCAATATTCATGAGCCATCTAAGGCTACATAGTGAGATCTTGTCTAAGAGAGTGGTGTGGTGGGGAGAGATGACTAGGTCATGAGGGCACTGCCCTCATGAACATGCTGCCATTGAGGAATTGTTTTGAAAAGCTAATAAAAGCTGGGGACTATCTTCTCCCTCAAAATGAAGGGTTTGTAGAATTTTGCATGGATTATTGGTTAGGAACTTCAGTTAAGAAAGTGTTTCTCTAGATGAGCATGGTGGCATCTGCCTGTAATCCCAGCTCTATGGAGGCAGAGGCAAGGCCAGCCTGAGATGCACAGTGAGTTCCCAGTCAGCCTGGGTGTATAGAATGACAAGATGTCACAAACAAACAAACAAACAAACAAAGAATCAGAAGCTGTTTCTAAGCTGGGTGAGGTGGCTTATACCTGGAACTCAGGATCTGCAAAGCAGAGCCAGGAAAACTGTAAATTGGAGTCTAGCTGGAGACAAAGGTTAAGAACTTGTCTCAAAAAAACCAAAACACCTCACTAAACCAGATGGTCTGGTACATGCCTTATAACCTCAGCACTTGGCTGAGGCAGGAGAACCATTCCTTTGAGGTCAACCTAGGCTGTATAGTGAGACTCTGACTCAAAAAAATCCAAAAGAGCTAGGAGTGGTAGCACATGTCTTTAATCCCAGTACCAGGGAAGCAGATGCAGATGGATCTCTGAATTTGAGACTAGTCTGGTCTAGGGAGCAAGTTTCAGGCCAGTCAGAGCTACACAGTGAGACTCTGTTTCAAAACAAAACAGATCATCCCAAAAAGCCAAAAGGAATTTGAAAGAAAGGGGTTGGGGAGGAAGAGAAGAAGAGAAAGTAAGTGAGAAACAAGATAGAGTTCCTGTAGTTGGTACCCTGACTAGTGTCTATACTGAACTACACTCATATTCTCAGGCCCCTCCCAATTTGATGTCATTATAGCATTTTAACATAGAGTTAGTTTCTTACATCCAATTTAAAAATGAGCAAGAGTCTGAATTTCTCCAAAGAAAACATACAAATGGTCAATAAATTCATAAAAAAGATGTCTCACATATCACTTGCTAGTCGTTAGGAAAACACAAATCCAAACAACGGGGAGATAGCATGCCACACTCCACAGGATGGCTAAGATGGGAAAATCAAAGGGATGTCAACAAGTGTTGAGGGCAGGGATAAGCTAGAATCCAGCACATTCTGTCTGGGATGTAAGATTACAGTATAGCCACTTTGGAAAACAGCCTTGTAATGTATCTTAAAGGATAAACACAGAGTTACTATGTGAAAGAAAATTTCACTCCTTGGTATATGCCCAGCAGAAATGAAGCATACATATGTCTACACAAAGACTTGTACAATATTTCAGATAAGAGAACATAATAGTCCAAGATAGAAGCAATCTGCCCATCAACTGATGAGCAATCATGGCATGGATACTCTTCAACAAAAGGGAATAAAGTCCCCATGGAGAGGAAGACATGGCCAGACCTTTACACTACCATGCTGCAGGACCCCATGCAGGATGCCATTGGAATGAGATGGCCCAAACAGACAGATCTACATATGTGGAAGGCAAACTGCTGGTTATTTGGGGGATAAAGGTGGTTTGTAGGGATGACCACTGGGCACAGTTCACCTACTGAACAGGCATTCATTGAGAACCTGCTCCATACCAGGCTCTAGGCTAAACATCCAAGACACAGTGACTAATAGCCTCAGTGCCAGGCTGGCAAAATGACTCAGTGTGTAAAAGCACTTGCTGCCAAGCCTGATGACCAATCATTGATTCCCTAGGACCCATGTGGTGGGAGGAAAGAACTGACTCTGGAAAATTGTCATCTGACCTCCAACAGGCTCTGAGGTTCATGCGCCTTCCCCAAATAGAGAAATGCAATAAGACTATAAATAAACAGAGAGATAAATTCATGCCCTGTGTTGATATAATTTAAGTGTTGGGGAGGAAGACATAACATTGCTACATAGATGATTACCAGTATGGTAAGCTTTGCTTAGATCCAGTTGACAGCTGTCACCTGGGACTATAGAAATAATAACAGCAGGCCTGAGGGCTGAAGCTAACCATGAAGGACCTCTTCCTTAGAACCGGATCAGAACGGGGTCCAAACAGGAAGGTCAGGCTAATGACCAGTGTGGGCTTGTCAATACCAAAGGGAATTAATACTACATGGCTCCTCAAGTCTTCAGATACTGAGCCCAGACTTCCCAGGAGGGCCTTCTCACAGCTGAATAACGCAAGATAAACAACCCCAAGAATAAACATAGAATCATGCACAAACCACAAATGGTCTCACTCAGTCTCTTTCTCATACACTAACCTGTGCTCACAGGGACCACATATAACCACAACCATGACCCACACCAGTCTCACACCCCAAAAATTATATAAACACTCCACATAAACAAATACACATAGGCCACCATACCCAGCTGACTTCTGCTTCCCTCTTCACTCTCTGGGGCGCCAGTGGTGGGCTGTCTTTCTACATCTTTTCCTTCTTCTTGCTTCTGTAGAAAGAAAGCCTGATTCCGGTTTCCTGTCCTCAAGGGTTGGGATTAAGTTCAGCCTCTGGTCCCTGGACCCTGCCTGGCTCTCTGGTCCAATGCTATGCTTGAAATTGGAGGTTTCCTCTGGGGTACGTACAAGAACTCTGCTCCTGCAGTCAATCCATTGCTTGGGTCTGTACCGCTGGAAGGGTACAGATTCGTGTGAGCACATGCACCCTTGTCACAGCTTGACTTCAATTCTCATCCCCAGATAGGGAAACTGAGTACGTGAACACTTGCTCTGTGCTGATTTTACCTGCCCCAGAGATTTTCCTGCGTCTACAGTTTCAGCCTCTCATCTAGGTGTAAGACTCTAGAGATTATGTTTCCCACTGCCACACATCCTGAGTGGGTGCCAGTTCCCTTGTGTGTGTTGTAACCCTGACATCAGGCCATGATGGGAGGTTTTTCTGACCACACAGAAAATCAGGTGTGGTCAGGAGGTAGAGGCAGAAAGATAAGAGTTCAAGGCAGTCACATCTACAAGTAAATTCAAATTCAGCCTGGCCTATATACACCTTCCTTCCTTCCTTCCTTCCTTCCTTCCTTCCTTCCTTCCTTCGTCCCTCCTTCCCTTCGTCCCTCCTTCTTTCCTTTTTTTCTAATTAGGTCTAAAACCTGATTCAAAATGGAACCAGAAAATATGGGAGCAGGTTACAATATGAGTCCTAATCCCCTATCTTAGATTGACAAGATTACAAAACGGGGGCTCACGCGTGGCGTCCCTCTTTTTACCTCCGGCTCTGACTCCTCTGATGGAGTCTGGTACCCCATATGTTTCCTCTTCTTCATGGGTTTTAGGAGTTCAGAAGCGATGGTACAGCCTGAGTTCTCTACTATGACTGATCTAAAAGAGGAATGGTCTCATTAGAGGAAAAACCAAAGCAAAACAACCCAACCCCCCTCCCCCCAAAAAAACCCATACACTCTGTAACACCCACTATGTTTACATTCTCTTAAGCCTGGAGTCAGAAAGAGACCGTAAGGGCTAAAAATGGGGCAAGAAAGGCTGTAATCCCTCGTTCTTACCGCTTCTGGAATGGTGGAGGGCAGCGGTCGCCCGAAGAACCAAGGTCTGGGGAGGTGCCTTGTTGAGGCCCACAAGTCTGACACTCGCAGGAGCTCGCGTCTTCTGGGGGTTCCTGAGAGGTGGCTTCTTGAGGATTCTGGTGGACATCTGAGGGAGCCCGCTGGGTCTTAACCTTCCCATCCCTGGACAGCCACGTGCAGGCTCCGCCCACATCCCTACAGCCCACTGAACAGCATCCTTCAGCCTTCTCCACTGGGGATCCTTCCGGTTACATTCCCATCCAAGAGACTTCAGGGAGCTCAAACCTCACCCACCACCCACCCACACATTGCCCTGGGGGAGCTGGATCCTAACGGGTGCTGGGTGCCCGTACCGACTCCGGTAGGGTCACCTTCATGTCCAACCAGGCCTTCTTGTTGCCGTTCCGAGCTTGGTGGTCTCTCTACTCCCATCGTATTCAGTGGCACATAGTCGCTTATCCGAAACTGGGGATGCAGAATTCTGAGGTCTGTGCCTGCTACATCACCCACCTTCAATCACCCACACACTATTTTGCTCTGCCAGTTAACCAGTCAGGTCTAGACTCCGCCCACTCCTCCCGACCACGCCCCCACCTACGGTGTCAGTCCCAGGATGACTCTAAGCCACCAGCCTCAGCATTTCCGTCTCAAGCCCCGCCTTCAGCCCACCCCACAACTGCCAATCTTCAGGAGCACCAACCAGCAGGCCACTCCCAGCTGAAGGTGTGGGAACTCCTGTCCAGTCCAGAAGCCTGACTGTACTATTGGTCCCTGGCCCCGTGCTTAGCTGTGGTAGGATGGCGGCGGTAATTGGTTCGCTGCTAGTCACTCGCTCCAGGGCGTCCACATGTACTTGTTCCCGGGGATAGGACATATCCAGGCCAGTGCTGGGCAGACCAAGGGTAGCTGCATGGGCTAGAAACAGATACACAGATAAGACAGGCCTCTTGCCACCCATGTGTATGCAGTTGAAAAGCAAATAAAGAAGGTGCATGCCTTTAATCTCTGCACCCAGGAGGCAGAGACAGGTGGATCTCTCAGTTTGAGGCCAGCCTGGTTTACAAAGCAAATTCCAGGGCTTCTAGGGCTCCACAGAGAAACCCTGTCTCAAACAAAACCAAACAAGGCCTCTGACCTTGACTTACTAGGAATAATAAAGGCAGTTGCAGGTAGGTGAGGACGAAAATCTGTGCTGTCTCTGGTCAGCAGGTGCACACTGACCTCCCCTGTTGAAGACCCCTTCAGTGTTCTTCGTTTGTCCATTTCCATGAGCCCCTCCATCCAGATGAGTCTACAAATCAAACACAGCCACCAGGATGATGATGGGGGAGGAAAGGAGCTCTTTGGAGGAGAAACTGGTCACCTTCAAGTCAGTAGCTTCTTGAGAAAAGTATCAGTCTTTGAGAGAAGTAGGGCGACTTTTGTTGTTTTTCAAGACAAGGTTTCTCTGTGTAACAGCCAGAAGCAGAGTCTTTTAGGACATCAGCATCAGGTCTGACAACTGGCCTTTATTCAGGTTATTGATAGAACTCTGGCCAGGCCCTGCATCTTCCCTGTCCCATTATTTGTGAGGATGGGCATAATGGCATGTGTGAGGGTGCCATGCACACTGTGTGTACAGAAATGGCTTGTCGGAAGCGTGAGTCAGGCCAAGGTTCTGTTTTGGCTAGTGACAAAGCCCAGGCTAAGTCCAAATCACTTCTTCTTTGGTCCCCCACTTCCATTCCCTTTCTTTGAGAACTCAGGTTCTTCAGGTACCACATTCTATTCTATTTAAACAGGGTAGGTCCTTGTGGAAGGAGACGTCTTTCCCAATCTTGTTCTCTTGTGTTCCCCTGTGCACCACCCCTCCAATCCCAGTCATAGCCTCGGCTGAAGCCTCTGTTGAGCAAACACACGTACCTGAATAGCAAAAGAGTGACATGAAAAAGCCAGTCAGCACAAGGTCCAGAAGCTTATTGGCAAAGCACTTGACTAGCATGCATGAATCCTGTGTTCAAATCCAGCAGAGGGGCTAGGGGATGAAGAAAAGAAGAGGAGAGAAGAGAAGAGAAGAGAGAATGGCATTCTGTAGCATGGCTGCTACTCAGCCTCCCATTAGCAGCCATGGCTTCTAGCATAAATGGTAAGGAAGGATTTTGAGGCTGAGCCCAGGATGGAGCCTTGAGTTAGACTCTCAGCTTCTTGACATTCACTTAACGCCCATGACTCCAGAGAAGTAGTTTTCCCACTCTGAGCTTCAGTTTTATTTTCTTTCCTTTTTCTTCCTTTTATTTATTTATTTTTGTTGTTGTTTGTTTTTTGAGACTTGGTTTCTCTGTGCAACAGCCCTGGCTGTCCTGGAACTCACTCTGCAGACCAGGCTGGCCTCGAATTCATAGAGATCTGCCTGCCTCTGCCTCCTGAGTGCTGGGATTAAAGGCATGTGCCACCACTGCCTGGCAAGCCTCAGTTTTCTTTCTTAACTGTAAAATAAAATAAAGGTGGTAATGGTACCTACCTGAAGGGGCTTTGATGAATGTTGGCTGTGAAGTATTGATACCAGCAGGCCTTCGGCAAATAGCAATCCTCTCCTTTTAGAAAAAAACTCCAGGTAGTTTGACAGCTTTTAGCCAATACCATGGACACTGCCTACTTGCAAAATCAGGTTTCAATGGCTGTTGTCTTGTGCCCACCCTCCCTCTCTCTCTTGCTGTTCTGTGTTCATTTATTTCCAAGAGTCTCCTCCCTAAAACGGAATATATTACAGATGTCTATCATTAGAGGTATAAAGCTGTGGTATAAACAGGTAAGTAGATAAGGTCAGATATGTGACCTGATTAATTAAAGCATTCAAACCAAACAAGATGAGTTTTTAAAACTTGAATTTATAAAAATCCAGGATCCCTGAATTTCAATTCCAATTTATTTTGCTTTTCACAGCTGAGGTGTTTATGCTACTTAGAAATATTTACTTTTATTTTATGTGTACAGTTCCTGAGCACCATATGCATGCAGTACCTGCTGAGGCCAGAAGAGGGCTTCTGATTCTCCGGAAACTGGAGTTCCAGATGGTTGTCAGACACCATGTGGGGTGCTGGGAACTGAACCTGGGTCTTCTGCAAGAGCAACAAGTGCTCTTAACCCTGAGCCATCTCTCTCTGCCTTTATGCCACTTTTAATTATTTTAAATAGAATAAATCTTTTGTTTAAAATACTGACGATCATGAAGAGTGGCTGCTTATTCAAAGAGCTCTTTCAAAAATCAGTCCCATGCAGCAGGTGTCTCAGAGAAGTAGCTGAAGATGGCCTTTCTATGGGGCTTGCTGTCTGCTCTCAGTAAGTCTTGGAGAACCAATGAAGTGCCAGCACTGTTCTATGCTCTGGGGACACAGGTGCTACCAAGACCAAGGGCTCTCATGAGGCTTCTACTTTAAAGGATGAGGTTGGAGCTGGAGATATTTGACAGTTGTTGTACACAGATAGTATTTAAGATAAAGAGGGCGATGCAGAGAAAAGAGTGGAGCACCAAAACAGTTACAGGTTGGGTGGGAGGGCAAAGGATATCCAGTGCTGGTGTGAGAAGCCTGCAGCGCGATGGGAGGGGAGACAGAAGAGGCGGCCTTCTGGAGACTGGCGGAGACAACTGTCAGCCATCTGCCCCAGGTTCTGAATTGGCTAGGGGAACTGTCATTCAGATGTTCTCTCAGTTGAGAGCGAGCTGTCGAAGTCCCAGCCCTTTACCTTCATTCCAGCTCAGGCTTAGGGCTTCCTGCTCCACAGGCTGGGGCCTCTGTTGAGACTATATCAGCATTTCACCGTCTCTGTTCCATCTTGCTGGCTTCCCAAGGCCACTCTCATAAACCTACACTTAAATCTGTTTCCAGAGAATCCTACTTAAAACCAGAGTAGTTCAATAAACAATTTTCGAATGTGTCCGTGCTGCTGTCTCTTGATGTCTGTCAAGCTTTCCACACACACTCCACCCAGAGTCCTTCGAGGCCTTGTATACAGCAGACACCCAATAAATACCCTGCTGGTAGGTGTTGGAGAGAGGGGAGATAGCGCTGAAGGCACACAGAAAACGTGGTGGGGGGGGTCCCAGCTCGCCCCCGCCGACGCTGCAACCTAGACGCTAGCGGGTGGAATGTGCTGTTGGAGTGTCCAAACCCGCCCCCGCCCCCCTAGACTATGCTGACAGTCGCGGGCAGGGCGGTCACTGATCCATCCGCTCTGCAGAAGGGTTACTTTTTTAAAAAACGCCAAAATGGCGGAATTCTTTAGGTTCCCCCCCACACACCCCGCTTTATAGCCAATTTTTAAAAAATCCTATTTTTTGTTAAAAATACTGAAAATCCATGACAGCGGAAAGTTTGCCAAATGGCCTATGGAAACCTCAAACTCGCCCTTCACCCCCTCTCATTAATGGAAACTCTTGATTGCATCTCTTCGCAAGGCCGAGCGTCTGCCCTCCCCGCGGCTCTGGATGCAGATAGCAGTGTCCGTGGGCTCGCTTGCATCCCGCAGCGCCCACAAGCAGCGCCCAGCCCTGGTTCTGCAGAGCCACCTCCCCAGTCCGCGGACGGTGCGGCTGGAGCTGGGAAAGGACCTGGGGTGGGGCCCACAGGATACTAGCACTTGCCATGCCGGCCGGGACTGGGGTGTGACGTCCCCGGAGCACCCAGCCCGAGCCCAGAGACCCGTGCTTACCTGCGAGGCTAGCGGGTGCAGCCCGCGCCAAGTGACCGTGGGAACCCGGTGCGGCGCGCGCCTGCGCACACAGGGCCGGGGTGGGGGTGGGGCGGTTCCCTGCAGAGCGCGGCGCAGAGCTCCTTAGCCGCTGGGTCTGAGCGGCAGCGGACCCAGGTTGCAGCTTTTGCTTTCAGTAGGAGTCCCTGGGGTGCAGGCTTAATTGCCTGTTCCCCATGGAACCCGCTAGCTTCTCGGGAGAATTGGGTAGAGTATTCTGGGAATCACAGAGCCGAGAGCAGCAGCCAGCTTGATGGACCTCCAGCTGAGTGGTCTACACCAGGCAAGGTGCACCCTTGCATACACCTGAGTCCCACATTTGGAGAAGGGGACTTCAGCAGTTTCTGGAAACTCTCCTAGTATGGGTGAAGAGCTCGCACAGCCAGAGCAAGGAAACCTGGCACCACATGGGGTCTGGCCATGGGCTTGCCTGGCATGAAGGACCCCAGCAGTTTCAGCCTTTGGGTGACCCACTGCTGCTGGCTGCTAATGTGACCTGGACACAGCACTGTACTTCCTGCGCTTCCATTCAACTTTGGGAGACTGTCATGCCATGTTCTAGGGTTCGACATTGTTTCCTGTTGTGTTGATCTGAGCAAGTCACTGGCTCCTCTTGTGCCTTCCCTTCCTTAACTCATCTGTCTCTACCAGACCTCTACTTTGATTGGTTGTTACCACGGCTGTTACATCAGAGACTTGAGTGATTCAGGAGTTAAGGAGACTCTGTGCTCTAGAATGAACCAGTTCCTAGTAGAGTGAGTACTAATTAATGTCTTCTGATTGTCGCTTCAGTGCCCCATTTCCCTTACACACTGGATTTTAATTTTACCCCCTTATTTCACAGAAAAGGAAACAGGTCTATTTGGCTCTCCGGTGGTAGCCATCAACCAAATCTTTAGATTCCTAGTCCTAGGAAATGAAAAAGTCACTTAAATGGTAAATTCTCCCAATTGCTGTGATGAACAGTTTAAATTTATGCCGATTTTAGGTATTGTTCACGTGTTCTCTCTGGCCTCAACAGTTTTAATCATATTTTGTGTTCTCAGGGACAAGACTCGTCAGAAAAGAGACAGATTGCCAGAATCATAGAAGCCTCTTTATAAACACCAGCACACAACCACTCCTTTCTCTTTCATCTCTATTCAGACTCTGCTTATTTAAGATTCCAAGATGGTTAAGTCTTAAAGTGGTAAACCTATTAGAACACATGGTTTCTCAATTACAAAGCCATCTTTTAGTGATTCAAACAGATGCATGAAATCTGAGCAGGTGGGATCCACAAACAGCTCTAGACTTCAGTTGCTGTTTTCTGCCCATTTACATACTCATGGGTCTTACTATCTGTTGTTTATTCCAACACCTGCCCTTCCAAACTGATGTGATGTGGGCAGCTCTGTCCCTATGCTGTTTACCCTGCTGGCCCCAGCTTCTTTTAGGAGAGTGAGCATGTTCAATTCTTCCTTCACATTCCACCCCTTCCCCAGAGTGGGTCCAGACGGTGTTGGCATAAAGAAGCATGGAGGAGACTGCTGTTTGCATTAGCAGTTGAAGTCACTGTTGGAGTAGTCCAAGGATCTCAGAATAGCAGGGTTTTGCCCTTCACATGTGAAGCATTTCTGCTTCCATAGACATGTCAGACTGTGCAAATCAGGAACCCTTCTGACAGACACCTAAAAAGCTACATAAAATTAGCACAAGGGAGATTGGAGAGGTGGCTCAGTGGTTTAGAGCATTGTTGCTCTTGCAGAGAACCCAGGTTTGATACGTGGCTCATAACCATTTACAACTCCAGTTTCAGAGGATCTGATGCTGACATGGGTAGGCAACAAGAATGCAAATTGCAAGCAGCAACTAAACAGAAGGGTGGGAGGTAATCACTGAACTTAAGAGGGAAATGGTCAGGAGCAGCATACAGGGACACAGCAACTCTGCCCTGGCATCTCTCTTGTGGAGGTAGTTTTGGGGTGGGGTAAGGCCCAAGAGTCTTGGGTTTTTTTTTTTAATCACTCACAGTGACAGCAGATGGGACAGTAAGCCCTTGTGGTAGTGTGGACTTGGAGCTGAAATTCCGTCTAAAGACCACTCACTCTAAATAGGGGCTCCTTTGAAATTGTTCCTTGCTGTCCTTGTCAGAGGAAACAGTATTTACCTACTGACTTCATTTTTTCCCTCTGGCTTGTTCGAAGTCATTTCTCCTCAGCTCATCTTGACTTCCAGAAACAGCCCAGCAGGCTGACCACCTTGTCAGAACTTACCTGCCCACTCAATGATTTCCCAGGTGACAGCAATAACTTCACCAAACTAGCCCTGTATGACAGAGGCTGCTTGAATGTGTATTTCTTGCCTTGAGTTCTGTCCTTTTTTTGTTTCTTGAAGGGTCCTAGGACAATGGTCCCATTCCTTCAAGGATGGTCATACTAAATTCTTTACTGGGGACAGAACCTAAGGACCCATGAATGCTAGACCAAACAACCAAAAAAACCTATATCCCCAAACCGTGACCCGACATCTTTTAGAAAAAAAAAAAAAGTCATATTGAGATAGTTTCACTAATGTAGCCCTGTGTCAGCTTCCCAAATAGCTGACATTGTAGGTATGAGTAACAGGCCCAATTTA